CGCAACAACAACAACAGGAAACAAGCACAACACAGCCTCAACAAGTTTTCACTTCAAGGTGCTTGAACACTGTGTTGCGAGAATGCCACGCCAGCCAGTGTTTTCTGCATGTTGGTCTTGAAAGTCACGGAAAAAACAGCACTTTCGACTAGTGCCTTCGAACACGTGCAAACACAGATGCGCAAAAATCCCGAAAAAAAAACAACTTTTGCCCAAACACGGTGCCAACCCTCAATGCGCCAAAACCCCGCGGTCACGGTTGACGCCGTGACCAGGTTTTAGCAATCAAGGCTTTCGGCTTCAGATGGTTTACAGCTTAGCCTCAGGGTAAGGTGTACACACACACACACATGGTACACATGCACATACATGGTGCACACACACCACCAACCCAGGCGGAGCTCAATGACTTCCGACGGCAAAGTTACTGCCGCGGTTTTCTTGCTACTTCCTTCGATACTGTCCACCGCATACATGCCGAACATAGAGATGGTCTGTCGGGTTGCTCCGCGGAGCATGTAGCCGGTAAAGCGGCACACGCCCAGTCTGCTTCGGTCGCCAGGCAAGCTAGCGTTTGGAGCGCCGTGCGAACTGCAGACCCGCGTTCGAACCTCTTCAAGCCGCGTGAAGTCCCCGGCGCTGCCGGTGTCTGCCGGCTCAGGTGCAGCGGCTCTGATGCCAGCTCCTGCTGGCGGAGGCAGAGGTGTAGAGGTTCTGGTAGTAGCTGGGGTGCTGGCAGCTTCTGGCCGAAACAAGTCTCTCATCGCCAGGCGGCGTCCAGGACAGCTTTGTGTGTGTGTATATCCTCTGCGTTGCTGCCAAATGCAAAGGCCAGGCACAAGACTTGTAAGTAGGTTTAGAGTTTAGGGTTTAGGGTTTAGGTAGAGCTTGAAACTAACCCCAAGTACCAAAAAGGTTAATATGTTCTACCATTATGGCATTAGGTCCCTCAAGCCAGGACAAGGATGGTCTGTTGAGGACTAAATTTCGTAATCGTCGCACATCCTCGGGCTCTCATGACCCCATGTCTAACGCGCCCTCTACGCACGTGGATGGCTTAGGCCTCCGCAGCATCGAGGGCCTGTGGCTGCTGTCATATTGACATTGTCCTAAACCCTAAACCCCTAAACCCCGAAACCCCTAAACCCTAAACCCCTAAACCCTAAACCCGAAACCCTAAACCCTCCAAGTACGCCTGTTTACAGGACCCCGAGACTTCTTTGAGTACCAAAGACTAGGTAGGAGTAGGGACTACGGGGACCCTTGCTTTTGATGCTGTTACAACATGTGAAGGGTTCGTACATAGGTGCTTTGAGGCCTAAGTATACCCTAAGCCCTAAACCCTACAGTAAGCCCTAAGCCCTAAATCCCTAAACCCTATATACTATATAGGTATGTGAAGCCTTAGGTTAAGGAAGCTCAGGCCCACACGAAGCTCACTGCCGCTGCCTCGGCTTGAAACGTATGGGCTCGGATTTTGGGGATGCCCCTTCGTGTTATCGGCTTGTGGGATATCGGGACACCCCCCAATTGTTCCGGAAACGGGATCTCATCTTCCTCTACGAGGTGTGTAGAGGCTACATGAAACGGGATAGTTGGAGGGGCTAGGCGAGGTTTATGTAAACCCTATAACCCTAAACCCCTAAACCCAAACCCCTAAACCGCGAAACCCCGAAACCCCTAAACCCCGAAACCCCTAAGCCCTAAATCCTACACCGAAGTTGAAGGTCTATGGTTTGGAGTTCCCGGCTTCCGGGCCAGAGAACTTCTAAGTGCCATGCTCTGAATGCTCCTTCACAAGGAAACCTAAACCTTGAACCCTAAACCCCCCTAAACCCCTAAACCCTAAATCCCTAAACCCTAGACCCTGAACCCTAAACCCTGAACCCTAGACCCTAAACTCTAAACCCTAAACCTTAAACCCTAGATGAAACTCTACCCCAACCCACAGGGCCCAAGGCAACCCGTCTCAGGAATCTCGGCGGATCCTTGTGCCCTCCTTGAAGGTAGTTCGCTTCAGGGTTCTAAAGGGTTTAGGGTTTAGGGTTTAGGGCCTAGGGCTCGTTAAGGGTACCATAAAGGTTTAGGGTATAGGGTTGCTTCTATACGGGTTCTGTAAGTGTACCATAAGTGTTTAGGGTAGGGGGTTCCCTCTTGCTCAAAACAGTATATATCTGGGCCCTGCTGAAGTACCCACATAGGGACTACTTTATGGCCAGACCATCCTTTACAGTATGGTCTTTGGGCCAAAGAGCCCTAAGCCCTAAACCCTAAACCCTAAACCCCTAAACCCTAAACCCTAAACCCTAAGCCTTAGAATATGAGTCCTCAGAGCCTTCGGGTACTATATGGGTAGTTTTCTAAATTAGGGTCCCTTCTTAGGTTCCCATTGTAATACGGCACCCTTATAAAAAAGGACCCCCAAAAGGGACCCTAACTTAGAGAACCACCCATATGAGCACCTGGACCCTAAACCCTAAACCCTAAACCCTAAACCCTAAACCCTAAATGCGAACTCTCCTCAAACCCCAAAGGGCTCCTCAATACGAGAGGAAGGCCATGCCCTGTTTGAGGGTTTAGGGTTTATGGGGGTTTAGGGTTTAGGGTTTAGGGGTTTAGGGTTTAGGGGTTTAGGGTTTAGGGGTTTAGGGCTTATAGGGGTTTAGGGGTTTCGGGTTTAGGGTTTAGGGGTTTAGGGTTTAAAGGGGTTTAGGGGTCTCGGGTTTATAGGGGTTTAGGGGTTTATAGGAGTTTAGGGTTTAGGGGTTTAGGGTTTAGGGTTTCTAGGGGTGATGACAGCCGTGGTTTTGCTCCGTGTCGGCTAGCCAAAGTTTGGTCGTCTTCTCATTCGTCACGAAGCACATGAAAGAAGTGAATATGATCTTTTGCAGAGTCACGGTTTAGGTTTAGGGTTTTCTTCAGATTCAGGGAACACTTGACCACTGATTTCAGGGTTTGCCAATGACCCTGAAAGTATCGCCCACCCACCTGCAATATAGGATGATTCCTGAGTCTCTTCGACTTAGGGTTTAGGGTTTATCGTCTTCCAGCTCCTGGAGCTGAGACAATGCGCTGGCTGCTGAGATGCCTTGACACGAAGGATTTCCATGAAAGCTTATGGCGATAGCTTTCGCGTTTCCTTTCGTAGGCGTCGCTTTTTCTGCACGGTCGTCTTGATCCCGTGTGCTGCTGCTCGAGTTGAGCGGCTTCCTTCAGCTGATGCTTCTGCCTTTTCATCCTCCGCCGGCGCTCTTCCAGAGTTACCTGCTAGGGTTTAAGGTTTAGGATGCATCACATCCAACCACAACACACGAGGCTTTCCGCACTCGAAAATATGCACCACAGCAGCATACTAAAATACTAGAACAGTGTCGACGCTTATAGCTGAACCCCAAGCCCTTTCAGTAAACCAGAGTCCTGAAAGCGTCTCTCGTTCGGACGACTATGTTCTCTTGGGGGGGGGGTCTAGGCTTGCAGGGGCTTAATAATTTGGGAGTACAAGGCTTGGGGCTTACGAAGTCAGGTTAGTTCAAGTTCATCTTCCCGGGGTCACACTACAGTCGTGCTGCAGTGGGACTCGCTAGAACGGGATGTGGAAACGATTCGTTGTACAAAGCTGAACAATCTAAGCAGGGATCTGTAATGTACTCCATAACTTTGCGTGATGGATCGACTTCACTCTAGTGGTGAAGATATGAACCCTAGGCCCTAAACCCTGAACCCTACCTACATGCAAGGGGACCTACAACTCCAAAACCATCAGCCAAGCCCTGGGTTCAAATCCTGAGCCTGGACAAAAATAAGGACCGGACTGATGTCGCCAGGGATGAGTTGTGGCCTGGAGACTTTGCCGATATATAAGACTTTTGGCGTTATAGAGAGTATAACCCCCCCCCTCAACCCTAAGCCCTAAACCCTGAACCCTTATAGACCCTCCAAAAGTCTAGAGTACCCCCCCCTCAACCCTAAACCCTAAACCCTGAACCCTTAAAGACCCTCCAAAAGTCTAGAGTTGCAAAACCCGCTGGAAAAGCAGACTCCGAGCTCTGAGCCCTCAAAACCAACCGCATCGCCGGAAGACCTACCCAGACCGCCGGAAGGATCGAAAAA